TAAGAACAGTCTGCTTTTCCATCAGATTCCCAAGTGATGCTGCTGTGGCTGGTCTGAACCACACTGAGCAGTCGAGAGCCACTTAGTGCAGATGAGTAGTGCACAAGGGACCCACGCATCGCCTGTGGAGGGGTGCTTTAGACTAAAGAGCATCCTTTGAGGTTTACCGAATCACTTACAGCTCAGAGATGCATTAATTTAGGTGTGGGAAGAACTTTTGCCATGGGTATTAAATTCAAATCCCATATTCATGGTTCACTATCTGTGGAGACCCACAGAGGCTTCCTAGTGGAAGCCTACTCAAGGCCAGAGAATCTGAGCTTGCTTTACCCAGCAGGACTGCAAAATGGGATGATTTGACCAGGGGAGTAGTTACCAGGTGTTTTGAAGGGTCTACACTTTGGCTGTGCCATGTGCTTTGATCTTGAAAGGGGGAGGTCTTTTACTTCGTCCCTTGGCATTGTACAAAAAGCCCTTTGGAATAAACCCCGAGGTGATTGGGTATTGACCCAGGGCCCTCTGAAGCTATCCAGTGTCTGTCTTTCTTATCATCTCTTTCTATCTTTCTATCATTTCCTCATTCCTCTCTCCTCCCCTCAAGAACCCTTCCACAGGTTGGAGCTGAACTCCTGCAGACTCCCACAAATACCTGGGTGGCCTTGAACAGGTTATTTCCCCTTATTATGAGTCTCAGTTTTTAGTCTTCATCGCTGATAGAACATCTAAATCAATCAGATTAACAGGAGAGAACAATGTGTTTAAGAGAACCAGCATAGCTTTTGATACAGAATAGATGTTCTGAAACTTGTTGACTGTTGATGCTGTGCATCCCCGTTTGTTGGAAGACCCCAGCAGGGACTGATTGATGTTCATGAGAGGTAGTTAACAGCCTCTCTGTGGTCTTGCCATGCATCAGATAGAGAGGACCAGTGGTCAGTTCTGCATCCTAGACAGTTTGCTTCTTTGCAGCCAAGGCAAGGCTATGGTTACTTAAGAAGAAATTATATTGACCAACTGAAAAATTATGTCCCTGCACAATGAACTTCTACAGTAACTTAGGTGTAGGCCTGATGACATGTGACAAGTGATTCTGTCATGGAAGCAAATATTTGTTGAGCACCTGTTCTTAAAGAGGTAAATAGTTCTGAACTGTAGTGACTCCCTGTGGAGATCTTATTTCACATCTCAGGTCTTTGGAGTTCACTGACCTCTTTGCCTCCTCTGCTCCTTAACCTGTTGGATGTCATGCTGGGCTAATGCCATCTCAGCACTCTGTCCATCCCCTTGGAGCGCTTTCATCTGCCAGCAAGCAAGTTTGTGTGCAGGTGTGTGTGTGTGTGTGTGTGTGTGTGGTGTGTATGTGTGTGCTGTGTGTGTGATGTGTATGTGGTGTGTGTGTGGTATGTGTATGTGGTGTATGTGTGTGGTGTGTGTGGTGTGTGTATGTGGTGTGTGTGTGTATATGTGGTGTGTGTGTGGGGTGTGTGTGTATGTAGTATGTATGTGGTGTGTGGGTGTGTGTGTATGTAGTATGTATGTGGTGTGTGTGTGTGTGTTGTGGCTGTGGTGTGTGTGTATTGTGTTTGTGTGGTGTGTGTGTGGTGTGTGTATGTGGTGTGTGCTGTGTGTGTGGTATGTATGTGGTGTGTGTGTGTGCGTTTGTGTTGTGGCTGTGGTGTGTGTGTATTGTGTTTGTGTGGTGTGTGTGATGTGTAGGTCCAGAGGCTGATGTTGGGATGCTTTCCTCCATCACTCTGTTATTTTTTGAGACAACCTCTCCCACTGAACCCGGAGGTTTGGGTAGACTGTCTGGCCAGTGAGCTCCTAAGGTTTGCCTGTTGCCTGTCTCCACACCAGTGCCAGTGTTACAGTGTGCACCGCCCACCATGCCCAGCTTTTTATGTGGGTGTTCGGGATCCACACTCGGGTCCTCAGACTTGTGTTTGCACTAGCAGTAGGCCCACGGAGCTGGCTCCCTAGCCCTCCTGAGTGAAGGTACAAGATCTTTGGAGTCCCATGGGTTGCACTCAAATGATTGGTGAGCCAATTGAATGACCCACAGAGTCCTCACGGAGTCGGAGGTATGTGAGAGGATCAGGGAGGTTTTCTTGAAAAAGTAACGATTGAGTTGAGACCTTATAAAGCATCGGCAGGCCGAGCGGGTGCAGTGGTGTGAAAGCGTGATGCATTTGGGGAAATGTGTGTGGTCTGGACAGACTGAGGCATGACAGGGACACAGAGGAGTATGGGAAGATCCCACAAATCACCACAGATGCCCCAAGGTCTGCTCCCATTGCACAGCCAAAGCACCGGGAAAGGCAGAATAGGCAAGGCCTCCCGCAGGGCAGCTAAGAAGATGGGATCGTCTTAAGGATAATGGGAGGCCAATGAAGAACTTTAAGCAGGAATGCTTAGAGGGTGAATTAAGGTGGCTGATATCTATAGGCAAGCTGATTCAGGTGTGATTCCAGCACTTGGGAGGCAGAGACAGGAGGATCTCTGAAAGGTCTAGGTTAGTCCGGTCCACGCAACGAGCTCCACTCCAGCCAGGACTGCATCGTGAGACATTATTGTCCCAAAAACATTAAATGAGAAAGATACAGGGAAAATGATTAGGAGTTTTGTGTGTTTTGTTTTGAGACAGGAGCCCATGTAGCCCAGGCTAGCCTCAAACGCTGGTATTACAGGTGTGCATCACCTCCCCCTATTAGGAATTTTACTGCCTCGGTGTTACTCTTAATGCCCTTTCTGCTCTTGTTCCCTTCAGCCAGAGCACTCACTCCAGAGGTGCCCTCTGCCTGGCTGCCTCAGGTCCTATCTGGGGACATTATGTATCCGGGGCTTTCTGGGGATGGGTGTCTGACTCAGGTTATTGTTCTGCAGTGAGTTGGAATGGCAAGGAGCCTTTGTAAATGCGTAGGCAGTGTTTACTGGGCTGCAGAACTGGACATGCTGTGCCCTAGTTCTGGGGACATTGGGGAAGTCATGTCACTTCTCCAAACTTTATCCATAAAATGGAAATAATACTGGCTTTATGGTTGTGGTGGTTTGGATGTAATTGGCTGCCATAAGCTCATAGGAAGTGGCACTATTAGGAGGTGTGGCCTTGTTGGAGGAAGTGTGTGCCACTGTGGAGGGGGGCTTTGAGGTCTCATATATGCTCAAACCACACCCAGTGTTTCAGACCACTTCCTGTTGCCTGTGGGATCAAGATGTAGCTCCTTCTCCACCACCATATCTGCCTGCATGTTACCATGTCCTGCCATGATAATAATGGGTTAAACCTCTGAAAGCCACCCAATTAAATGTTTTTCTTTGTAAGAGTTGCCGTGGTCATGGTACCTTTTCACAACAATAGAAACCCTAACTAAGACGATGGTTGTTTTGGCTTTTGTTTATATATGATATAATATATATGTGCATATATTTTATATGTGTTTATATATAGCATTTTAATATGTTAGATATAATATAGTATATATTAGGAGATAATATATATATTTGAGAATCAAATTAGATTATATTGGGTACAATAATAATGACCAGGATTGGCAAGGTGGCTCAGTGGGCAAACCTGCTTGCTGCCAAGCCTGACATCCTGAGTTCAGTCCCCAAGACCCACAAGGTGGCAGGAGAGAACCGACCCTCACTGGCTATCTCCTGACCGCCACACTTACCCCGTAACGTGCACAAGCACATGCTCAAGCACACACACAAAATAAATACAATGTAAAAACAAGCAACCCTGTGGGTAAACCACAAAAACAAAGCAAAGCATCAGAAGTGGTGCTTCCCTTGTGGCAGGCTCTCAGTAAATGTTAGCTTCCTCCTACCGGTTCCTGCTGGCCATTGCAGGTCCTGTAGTTCAAGTAGCTGATGGATTATCCATTCAGCACTGTCTTCCAATGGCGATTTCCAAAAATCAGCAGAGAAACTAATAAAGATGTCATTTGAGCCCAGGAAAGCAGCCCGTAAATAATTTCCAGCATCTTTCATCAAGGAAGTGCTTGAGACTTAGAAATCAACTGTACTTTAACCAAATTATAATTTAATATAATTAGCCCTTAAACTTAATTTTTAGGTTCAGGATCTTGGGCTGTTACAGAAACAAAACATCTGCCACCTGGACTGTGATATTGTTTGTATGCTCTTGAAATATCAATGTCTATCTTCTGACTACATGGTAGCAATAAACATCAGAATACACGTTCAGGAAAATGGAAAATGGAATGTGCAGGGTTGTGTATGGGTTGGAATGAGTTCCTTAAATGTCTCAACCTTGAAACCTCATAGGTTCCCGGTAGTACAGGGCCCCAGTTTCATATGAATTAAAGGAAAATGCTTCTCAGTCCTCAGACTCACTATCCACTTTATGGTTTTCTTTTCCTTCTCTGCATCAATCTTAGTGTAACCAGATCCTCTCTGACAATACAAGACACAGATTAAAACTAACTCTGCAGCAATCCTAGGATTATGGGCTCAGGAGGGTAAATCTTGCGTTAAGTGTGAGATGACCGCACCCACATCTCATTCTGGGGAAAGCAGCTGTGGGAGGCGGCGCTATGCTTGGGCCCTGGTTCATGTCTGATTCTACAAGATCAGTTAATAGGAGCGTGCGTCATGGTCCATTGTGCGTAAAGTACATTAGGAGCTGTGATTGCAAAGCATGGTGGGTTGCTGGCAGCAGTGACTGTACCTGAACACTGGCTGGAATCCTGGACTCAGCCTTGATCCCTATCAACAGAGCATGGAAAGTGGGAGTCACAACCTGGAAGCATTTGTCTCTCTGTCTGTCTGCAGCACTGAATTGGTCAGAGATTAACTTATCCCTAGGTGTTAGCCTAAAGCTAGAGATTTGGGAACACGCTCTGGGCCTGATCCCGATATCTTAAATCCTTTCTCTCCCACTCTGTCTCACCCTCTCATGCTGCCTTACAGGGACAGGATGGGGATATGACTGATGTGCCATCTTTCCCTTATCTCCACCTTTTATTTTCCAGCAACAGCTACAGGCCTATGTGGCCTGGGTGAATGCCCAGCTGAAGAAGAGGCCATCCGTGAAGCCTGTGCAGGACCTGCGACAGGATCTCCGAGATGGAGTGATCCTGGCCTATCTCATCGAGATTGTTGGTCAGTCGGCCTTGGACTCTAATGCTAGTGTAGACGAGAACATGACTTCTTTCTCCTCCATGTACCCTTCAAAGCAGGTTGTTCCTTCTTTAGAATACATGGTGATGGAGTCGGGAAGACCTAAAGTCCTTGCCCAAGGTTAATTCACATACTGGTCAATAAACACCACATGCTAGGTACTCTGTTATATGGGGAGATGGTAGCCCTGTCTGTGCCCTCAGAGGTTCCCAGTCTAATTGGAAGGACTGGAAAGTGAGGTCCATTGTATTACTGTACTTAGTGTTCTGATGGAGTAAGCACAGAGGAGGATACACAGAAGAGACACCCCACCTTAGTCCTAGGGGTTCAGGAATGGCAGACCAGAAGAATCCATGTCTAACTAGGGAAGGAGGGCTACCAAAAGAACTGCTGTCTAAGTTAAAAACGAAAGTGGGAGGGCTGGAGAGCTGGCTCAGCATACAGGCTGTTCTTACAGAGGACCTGATTCAACTCCCAGTAGCCACGGCTCACAACCATCTGTAATTCCAGTGCCAGGGGAACCAACATTTTTTTCTGCACAAATAAATATACATGCAGGCAAAACACTCAGAGAGAGAGAGAGAGAGAGAGAGAGAGAGAGAGAGAGAGAGTCATTCAGGTCAAAAGAGAAAATGTCACCAGCAAAAGGACTTTCTTCTATGACACTCGGAGCCTCATGTTTCCACAGAAGGGTTTTCCTCTCTAATTCTGGGTCCTGTTCTTACCTGGGTCCTATATTCCCGGAGTTTGTCCACAGCTCTCCTATGATTCCTCTCGCTGACTGGCAGTTAGTCATGATATAGACTGAACTACTGTAGAGAACGATATACTATACATTGTTTTTATGGTTCCACAGTCCCAGCCAAATGCATGGAATAAGTTCTCGAACATTTATTACTGGTCAGTTGATGTTGCTTGCTGTCCTGGAGGTATGTGGTGTAGAAGAAGCTGGTTTGCAACAGACAGCCTATCTGTTTTTTGTGTTTTTTTGAGACAGCTCATGAGTGACTATTCATTTGTACTGAGTGTAATGGGGGCAGCAGTAATTGCCGCTGTCAGGATGGAGCTTTCTGTCTTTTGTGAGTTTATTTGACCACCACACCCTAGGGAAACAGATATTATTATTTCTGTTTCCAGGAAGCAAATATTCCAGGGAATATCTATAAAAATAAATTAATTAATGGGTGCTTAGTATGTGTCAAAAAAATAGCCAAGTCTGTTCTTTTGATTTCTTTGTGATGTGGGTTTGAGTCCAGGTGGGGTACTCCTCATCCAAAATGCTTGGGACCAAAAATGCTTCAAATGTTGGAGAGAGAGAGAGAGAGAGAGAGAGAGAGAGAGAGAGAGAGAGAGAAACACTTATAGCTAAAAATTATGGAAAATCCAAAGTCTGAAAATGTTCCCAAATCATAATTTTTTTGGGCACTAGTATGATGTTTAAAACATTTCAGGTTTTTGGACTGGAGAGATGGCTCAGTAGTTAGGGTCACTGGCTGCTTTTCCAGAGGATCTGGGTTTGAGTCCTATGGTCCTCTGGAACTCAACATGGTGACTCAACCATCTATAACTCCAGTGTCCGGGGAATCTGATGCCCTCTTCTGGCCCCCCGGGTACCAGACATGCACACAGTGCATAGACATACTTACATATACCCATATATATATATATATATATATATATATATATATATATAAAATAATGTTTCAGATTTTGGAGCATGTGTAAACTCAGAGTTTTAGATTATGGATGGTAAACCTGTATTATTTTACTGATAAGGTTGACAAGGCTCAGCAACCTCACAAGTTCATATAAATTTAAGTATTCAGGTAAAGGTGCAAACCTAGCTCTGTTTTAATTCCGAAGTCCCGGCTAGAGAAATGACTCAGCTGTTAAGAGTGTATATACTGCTTGTGCAGAGGACCTGAGCTTGGCTCCCACCATCCAAGTAGAATGGCTCACAGTCTTCTGTAATTCCAGCTCCAGGTCATCCCTCTTCTGGACCCCAAGGTCATCTGCACTTGTATGTACACACACACACACACACACACACACACACACACACACACACACACACACAAAAAAAAAATAAATCCCCAAATCTATTTTAAGCAGTTTCTTTTCCCCTTATTTAAATAGGCTACATGTGGACTAACAGGAAACCTAGGCACAATAGGGTTAGAAACAAAATTCTTCTTCTACCTGTCTTTCTTCAACGAGAGCTCTGTCAGCACTTGGGTTTTTCTGTGACACAAAGCAACGGAAAGCAGGAAGGGCTTGTTTCACCTCACGGTTTGAAAAGCCCACCATCGTGGGGAAAGGGTGGTGGTGTGGGGGGCAGCCAGCCAAGGTGCAGCCACAGCCAGAGGCGAGAACAGTGAACACTGATGCTCGGCTCACTTCCTCCTTCAGCCCAGGGAATGGTGCCACCCGTTCTTAGGGGTTCTTCCCACCCCAGTTAACTTAATTAAAACACCCTGTCACAGACGTGGGCAGAGAGGCTAGCCCAATGTACATAGTCAACGGAGAGACTTGTCTCCTAGGTGAGTCTATATCCCGTAAAGTTGATAGTAAGTGTTAGCCATCACAGTTACCCACCCTCCATTCTGGAGGTAGCCTGTTGTTTCCAGAGATGTTCTGTAAGCCTGGAAATCAGTATTAATGTGCTTTTATTTTCCCAAGATCCAGGTTTTAAATACTATTTGTGTGTGCATGCACGCATGTTTCTGGAAACTGAACCTGACCTTGAGCATGCTAGCATGTAGCAGCTAGCGCTCTACTATTAAGGTATATCCCCAGCCTGAAATAACCTCAAGGGGGCTGAGGAGGTGGTTCAGTGATGCTTCATGTGCAAGGGTTTGAGTTTGAATCCCCAGTACCCGTGTTTAAAAAGCCAGGGATGGCCACAAGTGCACCTGTAACTCCAGTGCTGTGTGGGTTGGAGACAGGGGCATCACTGGGGTTCGTTGACTGCCACCTCAGCTCCAAGTTCAGGAAAACAAAAACAAAAACAAAACAAAACAAAACAAAAACCCATTTCAGGCAAATAAAGTATATAGTGACAGACCAAGAGACCAGCTTCTTCCATGTGTGCAGCTATGCACACCTGTGTGTGCGCACACCCCTGTGCGCACACCGCACACCTCCTACACACTCACACACACATAACAAAAGAGAGGAAACCTGACGATCTCTCCCTGATTTTGCATATTTAGCCTTCAGCTTTCCCTTGAGTTGGAGACATGCATCCACAGTGTCCTGTTCATCGTTGTCGTTGGAATGTCTTACGTGCAGCTAACCAGAGCTTCGTATTTCCTTCCCATACCAAGCCCTTTACCCTCCCTGCCCGTCCTCACCTTGCATCTTTGTCCTTCTCTCAGTTGTGAAGCAGAACTCTTAGAAGTTATTCTGAAGGATTTTCCTCCCCTCCTGAATCACAGCCAGTTCTTAACATGTACCTTCTGCTTTGTATTCAAAATATACTCAGTCACAGCCATTCTCTTCCACTTTAACCCTTACCATCCTTATCTCTTGCCTTGAATATTTTGGCTATCTTTCTGACTAATCTCTCAGTTTCATCTCCCGCATGATCTATACATACACACACAGTCAGCTATGGAAAGCACATACCAGATAATGTCACTACCCTGTCTGAAAGTCCCCACTGGCTTTTCATTAACCTTAGAATAAATTCAGGGTCGTTCCTGGGATCCCCAAAGCCCCATTTGACTGCCTTTGCTTATCTTGGTGGCCTTTTCTAGGTCTTGACTAATAACTCCACTCTAGCCACACTAGTCTTTTCTCTTTCATTTGAAACAGGGTCTCATGTAGCTGAGGCTGGCCCAGAACTTGCTATGTAGCCATGACTAATTTCAATTAACCTGATTTGGTTCCTGATCTTCCTGCCTCAGCCTCCCAACTGCTGAGGTCATAGGCATGTACTACATGCCTAGTTAGCCACGCTGATCTTTTTGCCCCCCAGATAGGCTGAGTTAATCCCATATTGGGGTTTGTTTATATGGCTCTTCAGCCTGGCATGTACCCTCTGTCTTAGTTAGGGTTTCTATTGCTGTGAAGAGTCGCTATGACCATGGCAACTCTTACAAAGGAAAACATTTCATTGTGATGACTCACAGTTCAGAGGTTTTAGTCCATTATCATCATGGCAGAGAGCGAGGCAGCATGCAGGCAGACATGGTGCTGGAGAAGGAGCTGAGAGTTCTACATCCTGACTCACAGGAAGTGAGTGGTCTGAGAACCTAGGTGTGGCTTGAGCATATATGGAACCTCAAAGTCTGCCTCCACAGTGACTTAGTACCTCCAACAAGACCACACCTACTCCAACAAGGCCACACCTCCTAATAGTGCCACTCCCTTTGGGGGCCATTTTCTTTCAAACCACCACAGCTTCTTAAAGATAAACATTTCTTATTCCAACTTTTCAAGACTATATTATCAGAAAGGCCATGATCAGTATTCTTTTCTGTCTTTATCCTTACCCAAAATTATATTAAACATTGGCTTGTTATACTGTAGATATAAACTAGGAGGGAAGACACATTTTCTACCTTGTCCTCTGCTCTCTCTCTAGTGCCCAGAGCAGCGTCTGGCATACAGTGGCTTCTCATGAATATTTGTTGAATTAATAAATATGCACACAATATAACTTTACAGGACTGTGGGTTTACATTGGAAATACCAAAGTGTTCTGAAAGTTTCTCATTTTTCTCTCCTACATCCACTTCCCCTGGTGCACACACCAGGACTTAACTTACTCATTTATTTGTAGAGAATTTTAGTGTTTGTACCCCTTCCTTGTGCCTGGCTGCTAGGAAACCTTGATAATGTTCTTACTTACAACGTTACGTGTTATTTTTTTTTTGCCCCCCCCCTCTCCTAACAGCAGGAGAAAAACTGAGTGGAGTACAGTTGAGTCCCAGTAACCAACAAGAGATGAAGAATAATGTGGAAAAAGTGCTACAGTTTGTAGCTTCCAAAAAGATTCGTATGCATCAGACTTCAGCCAAAGGTTAGTCAGCACCTCCTCCTTGGGGAAAGAACACTTAGCTTTTGCCAGTGCTGACCCGTTTGAGAAGTCCCCTTGGCCACGTGGCCAGCTGTTCTGAGCAGACTGGAATAGGATTAGGCTCCTGGTCTTATGTCCTTGGTGCATGAAGACAGGTACCCTCTTGGAAGGCAGTGATCAGGTACTGAACTCCAGGGCTCCAGAGACCTGGCTGTAGGCAGCAGCTCTCTGTTAATTTGAATTGAATATAGATAGGCTTGAGTGTGTGTGTGTGAAAATTAATGGTACAAGAATAAATGACAAAATTGAGATATTAATTTTGGAATGTCTCGTTTAAATTTTCAAGGATGAAGATGGATTGCGTTTTTTTTAGATCTTTGAGTTTTATGATCAAGTACTATTACAAACCATCATAACTTACGCTTTTCCATTCAATTTCCTAGGAGAAACTCTCTCACTTCTATTTTTCTTTCTTTTCTTCCTTTCCTTTATTTTCTGAGACAGGATCTTATGTAGCCCAGGCTGATCTTGAAACTGCTATGTAGCCAAGGATGACCTTGAACTTCTGATCCTCTAGCTTCTACCTCCTCAGTGCTCAGATTACAAAACTGTACCACCACCCAGCTTTATGTGGTGTTGGGGACTGACCCCAGAGCTTTGTAAATGCAGGCAAGCGCTGTCAACTGAGACACATTTCTAATACTGCCCAGCCTCAGTATATATGTTTTTGAGACAGGGTCTCACTGTGTAGCCCAGGCTGGCCTGGAATTTGCTGTGCCCTAGGCTTTCCTCAAATTAGGTGTTTCTCCTGCCTCTGTATCTTAAATTATGGGATTAGAGATGTGTACCACACTCAGCTTAAAAGGGAAATATTTTATAGCTTTTCTTTTTTTGGCTCTGAGAACATTCCAGGCAGACAAAAGGGGCCCTATGGCTTTTGTATGTAGTCTTCTGTAGTGGCAGAACCTTTTGCCCGTGCTGTAAGGAAGGAGCCACGTAGGGGTCCTTTGAAAGCATAGGTTTCTTTCTCCTTTTGATGCTTTTCGAGAATTGACTAGAACTGGTTGTTTCAGCATCAGCTTTTGGGTCTGTTGCCTGCAGTTTTGCTGAGAAGGAGGGTAGGAGGAACCCTTTCATGTTGGATTATTGGTGTTCTGTGTGTTTGAAGTTACTCAGGTGAGCAAATAGTGACCATTAAGAGCATTTGGTAGAAGACTTCAAATAGTCCTTTGCATGCTTTGTGCATTTGAAAGGCTATAAAGCCAAACAATGGAATTGTATCCATTTCCTTGCATTAACTTTAACCAGATCTTTCACAGTGTGGTTCCCTCCTCTGTGTGTGTGTGTGTGTGTGTGTGTGTGTGTGTGTGTGTGTGTGTGTGTGTGTGTGTGTCTTCTTTCCTCTTTTTTTCTAGGGCAGAATTTAGAGTGCAGTGATAGCTTTGTTCTGGTCCCCATGTGGAGTGGGCTTGGGGATCTGGCCCAGTAAAACGGACTATTTAAGGGAACACTGCCATTCATTGTCTTTTACCTGAAGAAGCTCAGTGCTTCCTAATGAGTCCTACTGCATCGATCTCCCTCTCGTTCAGCTTTCTACACCACAGCTGGAGTGAACAAAGAGCACACATTGTGCTCCTGCTGTGCACCCTGAGGTCACATGGACAAACCTGGCATCTTTCCTAGAGCCTACCTGGTCCCCTACGGCCCAACCTCTGATTTCCCCACCTGCTTTCCCTCTCCTGCCGCCGAGCTCTAGGGCTCTGGCCATCCTGAACTCTTTCACTTTCGCCACCGCAGTGCTGGACCATGCATATAATGCATGTCCTGTAAGTACTTAAAAGTTTCCTAAGGCCACATTATAAGCCAGAAGGACTGAAAATGGTTTTAATAATATATTTTATGTAACCCAATCTGTCCATAATGTGATCACTTTATCATGAAGTTAATATTAAACATTACTGAGATAGTTTATATTTTACTTTTATTTTTTATGTGTATAGGCATATTGCCTGCATATATATATATATATATATATATATATATATATATATATATATATATATATATATATATATGCACCATGTGTGTGCCTGGTGCTCTCAGAGGCCAGAAGAAGTCATCAGGTCCCCTGGAACTAGAGTTACAGATGGTTGTGAGCTGCCATGTGGGAGCTAGGAATCGAACCTGGGTCCTCTGGAAGAGTACCCGGTGCTCGTAAGCACTGAGCCATCTCTCCAGCCCCACACTCTATGTTTATACTGTCTGAGATCTTTTGCATTCCCGTGTGTGTGTGAGAGGTATTAACACTTAGTTACAGTGCTTGCTTAGAGCATATTGCAATTCAGAGTAGTGACATTTAAGTGCTTAGTAGCCACATGTGGCCTGCAGCTCTCCTAACAGACAATATCGCCCTATTATACTGATCTCTAGACCTGGGCATGTACTTTTTCCTGGATTGTTCTTATCCCTTCTCCCCTATTAGCTGAAGAAGCATCACCCCCTAGTCTCAACTGAGGACTCACTTCCTCTAGTAATACATCCTTAAGAACTCTAAGATTATCTCTCCACAAACTGCTGAAGACTCCTGTACCTCTCTTATCTAACCATTTTATCATCGTACTTTACTGTAATTGCCTTTAAACTTTCTGTGTCCCTTACTGAACAGGGCTTTATGAAAATGGAGACTGCCTGCCCGGCTTACTATATCACCAGCAATATACAGTAAATGCATCAATCCATAGCCTCTTCCTCCCTCTTAGCACCTTTCAATCTGTCTTGTCCTTTAGATATTGTGGAAGGAAACCTGAAGTCCATCATGAGGCTGGTCCTTGCCTTGGCAGCTCATTTTAAACCCGGCTCTAGCAGGACAGTGAGCCAGGGGCGCGACTCCAGAGCCCCTGTTCAGACTCATCAACCACACTGTGCTACTGCTGTGGCCCAAGGAGCGGCTGCTGCTCTGGCTGATGTGTGCCATGACATGTCTCGGTCAGGACGGGATGTCTTCCGGTACAGACAGAGGTAAAAGTCTGCGGAGGGGAACTGGCATTTCTTTGCTTAGATAATAACAGTTGCAAGTAGATGGAAATATCAACCAAACAGCTCCACACTGCAGAAAAGATAACAGAAAAGAGTAGAGGTTTGGGAGGGAAATCCTCATGAGAAAAGCTTGGCCTTGTGCATGCCAAGCAAGAGCTCTACTACTACTGTGCTCTACCCCCAGGCTTCTTACGTCTGATTTTTGAGACAGGGTCTCATGAAGTTGCCCAGGCTGGCCTTGAACTCACTCTGTAGTTCAGACAGGCCATGACCTTGTCTTTCTGCTGTCTCAGCTTTCCAGATAGCTGGGATTATAGGCCCACAGCTGCAAGCCAGGCTAACTAAGCCTTTTCTTTCGAGATGTTTATTTTGCAGCTAGCAGAATGTAAGGATCCATGTGTGTAAGTTTGCTCTCATGCCCAAAATTTAAATATATGTGGTTGGCACAGCGTGTTTTCTTCACTGGGAGATATGTAGTCCATCTGGAGGAGGCTGGATCCTGGAATGTATCCACAAGGCCAATCTGTCTTGAAATTTCATGGCAGGAAGTGTTTTGAGGGTTGTGTAGTTGCTAAAGGAGAACATGACCCCAAGGTGTCGCAGAGATCGGCAAAATCACTTGTTTTTGTGTTTGCCTTCCCGGCTAGGTTTTAAGTGCCTTAGAAGAAGGAATTTTACCTTGTTTACCTTCTAAGTGTGTGTGCGCACGTGTGCGTGCGTACGTGCGTGTGTGTCCAGGATCTTGCTATCTATGTAGCCCAAGCTGGTCTCAAACTTCTGATCCTCCAGAGTACTGGAATGACAGGTGTGTGCCAGGCACACACATCTGCTTTCCTGTAGTGCACACTGCATGTCAGGGTATCTCTACTTGTAGAGCCGACCGGAACCGCAGGGCTAACACTGTCTTCTTCTCTGGTGCCCCACGCCCCCCTTGTAGGAACAGCAGCATGGATGAGGAGATCGAGAACCCGTACTGGAGTGTTCGGGCGCTCGTGCAGCAATACGAAGGGCAACAGCGGTCCCCGTCTGAGTCCAGCTGCTCCAGGTAATTGTGGCCTCACGTTCTTGGCATTCTTACATTCCGTGGTGAAGAGCTGAACTCTTGGGGATTCTTAGACCAAAAGCACTAAGGCACCCATGGGGTTGAGTCCCATATCCTGCTAGGCTTGGGTCTGGAAACCTGACTGGGGTAGCGAGGGGGTCAAGAAAGGACAGACACTCAAGAAATGACTCACAGACACCAGAAAGTTGGGATCAGGTGGGATGTGCGAACCTCAGTGTTTATTTCTTAGGCACCTCACAAAGGGGAGGTGTTAGCTAGTCTTGGTAGGTCTCTAAGTGTGGTCTGAGGCTATACTCATCCAACATCCAGGAGCTGCTCGTTTTTGCACACGCTGGTCAGTTGTTTGTAAACACTCACACTTGCACACTGTCAGCATTTGCACTAGACCAGAGGAAGCCTTTACCAGTTCTGAGCCGGACCAGTCTGAGGAAGGCTTTGCCAATTTCCCATGGGTCTGAGGCATTGGTCCTTAACATGGCAGTGTCCAGATTAGTAGTGCATGTGCACTCAGGTCTTTATCTACTCTTTACATATTCACCCACAGCGTCTTCAGCTCCCCACAGTTGGGGGTGTGTGTAGCTGACTGCTAGAGTGCTTGTCTTGCCAGAGGCCCTGGGTTCAACCCCTAATATTGAAAAACAAAAAGCACCTAACCTCTTTTTACTTTCCTCAGTTTATCTTTGGCATTCAGGGACTAGCGCTCAGCTCGGTCCGTGGGTTTGGTGTTGACAGAAGAGTGGGATGCAGCGCTAGTGAATTCCCCACATGCAGAAACTGCAGCATCCCAGTAACAATAGTTAGCTCTGACCACGTGGGGGTGTGACTGGGACCTTCAGAGTCCAGTCCAGCCCAGTGTTTGTGCAGCAGCTGCTAGTGTTTATGATAGCCAGGTCCCAGACCCTGCAGGCTGGGTCTGATCCTTTAGTTACAGCCACAGAAGGCTGGAGAAAGCTCCCGGCAAGAGAGGAAACTGTGCGGGACTGTCTGACGCATTAGCGTTTCCACGTTCATTTATAGGACTGTGAATTGGGGCACATTAGTATGCATCTAAGTGGGCTCGGGGTGTTTGTGACTCTAGTAAAGAGGCTGTCTGCTTCCCTTAGAGCCAAGTGCAGGGGCCAGAACAGGACACTCTGCTCTCATAAAAGCCTGACCAGTGCCAAGTAGAGTGGCAGAAAAAGATAACTCTCCTGGCTCACGGAGATTATGCCCCTATAAACACATCCCCAGCCTACTTACTAACTTGATTTTGTTGCTAAATTGTATTGAGCGTATCCTCTAATGATCTTTTCCCTCCCACTCCAACCCAGCATATTCTGATCTATTTTAAATTTAATTGTGCCTTGTGTGTATTTTCCTTTTTTCCCCTTCCTCCTGTTTCTTTTCCTCATACAATCCCAACCTATTTTGACATACCATTTTCTAATTTATGGAGGTCCTGTGGACCCCTTCCTATCATCTGAATATACTCCTAACCTAGCTCAACTTTAAAATGTTTAAATGTAATGGGTGTACTTTCTATTTCTGGCATAGGTCTATTACAGACAGTTCACCATTAAACATTTCCAAGTGTTCAATGTGGTACCTTAACAGTTTTGTGTAAACGCCATCTCTATCCAGTTAGGAGACATTTTGACCAACCCCCAAAGAAACTCGACCATGAAGCAGTAGGTGTGCTTTTAATGAGACTCCAGACCTTTGCTTTTTTGCTGGTGGCTGGGACTATCTTTGGCTCAGCACAGAATCAAAGGCTGTTCTGTTGTATAATGAGATCTCTTGGCTTCCAGCATCTCTGCTGGCCTTTGACTCTCCTGAGCCTGAGTGTGCCTGTGAATAAGAAAGAGAAGGGAAGAGAGTCGGAGTCTCCTCGGGGTGGCTGCTTCCTTCGTCCAGGCCAGACCCAGACTGCAGCTGTGAGCTCAGAGTGAGGGGCCCTCTCGATATCAGGTTGTGTTGGGCTAATGGCAGCAGTAGATGTGTCAGATTACATCTCCCTCTCTGTCGTCCCCCCGCTCCGCCCCCGATTTTGCCGTGTTCTTTGGGATAGAGTCAGCACTCTGCCTGTTTCTTCACTGACCCCTCAGGAGAGGAGAGGGCGTCTAGCAGGTTCTGCCATTTGCCCACTTCTATTTGGGCACCTATTGACCCTGGATCCCCTGGAAGAACCAGGAATGTTGGAGATGCTGCAGCGTTGGGTGGGGTGTAGCTGTGATGATAGGAGAGACAAGACATCCTGTGGTGTCTTCCCTGCTGCTTCCCCGGCTGCTTTTCAAGGATGCTCTAGCAAAGCCCTACCCTCCTGTTGCTCCAGGAAACAGGCCGGACTCTCACTGTACCTAAGCAGAACCGGCAGAGGGGAAGGAAGGTGGGAGCTGGGGACAGGAGGGCATTTCTGCAGGTTTGCTGGGGGGAATAGGGGCAGTGGTAGGGGGTACGCCAGTCTCGATCCTGCCAACCTCTCCCAATCTGCGGAGAGCGGGGTTGAGCTCCTCGGGATTAGATCAGTCTCAGACCCGCGTGTCCAAGGAGGGAGGGGTCAAAGAGGTGCAGCAGCATCTTCGCTGCTGCTCTCCCCGGCACCAGGACCATCCTCAGAACCACGCGGTTCTGCCACCGCGCTGCCCATCCCCCGCCGCTCCTGGGCTCTGGTCACCGTCGGCCCTGCCGGTTCCGGACCGCGCCCTTGGCCCCGGCCTCGGCCGGCACCCCTACCTCTCTGCCCAGAGCCAGCGGCGGCGCTTGGGTCGAAGCCCGGCGCTGCCTGGCCGCGTGTGACAGCCTGGGAAGAGGCGGGAGGGAGGGGGTGGCGCGGGGGGGGGGGAGAGGGGGACGGGAAGGGAGGGATCAGAAGGCGGCGCTGAGCAGGAGCACAGCACGCCGGACTCCACTCGACGCTCAGCGGGAGCCCCTGGAGCCTCTCGCCCCGAGGGAGATGGGTTGAGATGCCGCTGCCCGGGGGAATGCTCGGAGCTGTGCGGCCGCAGGGACCGAGATGCAGCTGCCAGCGATCGGCCGCTGGCGATGGGAGGAGGCTTCCACCGAGGCTTGGCTGCGGCGGAGTCTGAGCTGCTGGGACAGCGCGCTTCACCCCAGGGAGCATCCCGGTCCCCGGGGCCAGGACACCCACCTCTGCCCTCCCTACTTTCTCCGGAGACCCGGGCGAATCGTTCCACTGGCTGGCTGATCTCTGGAGTCGTTCTTCGAGTCCCCGCGCGGGGGGACTTGCGAGAATTTAGGAGCGATATGACTCTCAGCCTCCCACCTCACCCAGGGAAGCAGGCTTGCTGAAGCCGGAGCCAGGAGGGGACCATGGGAGGGACACAAGTCAAATGGTGAGCTGAAGCCACTTTGGCTCTTGAGGTGCGGATATGAGGGGGAAGCAGGGCCAGGACCGGGGGACGTGGTTGGCTGGGGACAAGAGATGATTGGGTGTGCTATTCGGTGAGAACAGGCTGCTGGTCTGGGATTAGCATTACAAAATAGAGTGATTTTAGGAATTTGGAGCTGACTCCAGGGGCGATGGGACTCTTCCTTTTCCATTATCCTTTTTTTTTTTTTTTTTAATGATGTGTCTAATTTGGCAGTATCTTTGTTGGGGTTTGCTGGTATGATAAATTAATATCGATGAGATATGAGATTAAAAAATGTATGGGTAGGACCTATTTGTAAACAGCAGTTCTCTGACCTCAGAGAGGATTATGATAAGTAGGGATTATTTGTTTGTCAAGTATGACTTTTAAGCTAGTTAGGGAGGAGCCCAAGTCTTACAATTAATTAGCATGAAGATACTTTTCTCTGACCTGAGGCCGAGAATTTAAAACGCCTTCCTCTTCTAGGAGGGTCTTAATGCTCTGACACATGCCCCAGGATTTTCCTCCCTCCGGGTTTTTTATTTTAGCCATCTAGTTTCCTGGTCTTACCTCCTGGCAGCCTCGTTTCAAGAAAAAGAAATGTTGTTTTCCTTTGCCTGCTCTGCCACACCCCCGGTGGGGTTGGATATCCAGACGTCCGCCTCCTTCTGCCCTTATATGGGAGGCAACTTACTTGGAGGGAAGAGGTGGAACTGAGCATGCGTCTGTGCTTTTAGGAAAGCCTTTTCCCAGTATCGCAGATCCCCATTACACCCTCCCTGTGCTCTGTCTCGCACATCCCTCCTGTGGTCCAGCCAGATGCTGGCAGTGGACTTGTTATCCATAGCACCCTGTCAGCTGAGGAAGAGGGGTGGCTGACAACGGCTTTGTGTACCCGGATTCCCAATTTTGTAAGAGGTAAATGCTGGGGACGGAGCATTCATAAATCTCTCCTTACCAGAGACACAGCCCCTTTACATGAGAGCCTTCCCGGCTATGAACTCACGTTGGCCTGAAGGTCAGGTTGCCTGCATAGTGAAAATAGCTGAGAGAGACCCAGGAAACACTCAGCATTTTTTTTTTTTTTTTTTTTTTTTTTTTTTTTTTTTTGGTTTTTTTGAGACAGGGTTTCTCTGTGTAGCTTTGCGCCTTTCCTGGAGCTCACTTGGTAGCCCAGGCTGGCCTCGAACTCACAGAGATCCGCCTGGCTCTGCCTCCCGAGTGCTGGGATTAAAGGCGTGCGCCACCACGCCCGGCTACACTCAGCATTTCTAAGTAGAACTTGCTACCCCTCACTTCTTTTGATCTGTACACCTCCAGATGTAGAAAAGCAGCTTCGAAGAAAGACGAAGACCTAGTACTACTTGAGACCGTTCCCACCAAAGTTCTTCAGCTGTGGACACTGGGGAGACACTAGTCTGCAGTTTTTGAAATCTGCCTGCTTCCGCTAAACTTGTTTCTCGTTTTCCTCTGGTTTGTGGGAAGAGGAAATGTTAACTCCTGCTTGTGGTTGTAAGGATTAGCCTGGGAGACTTCAGGGGCACATTAAGGGGGTCAGTGAATCCTAGACACTTTCACTGTTGTCTGGGTGATAGATTTGGAAAGAATTCTTAGGAGGGGGCTGAGCCGCAGACTCCACAGGCCCTGAGATTGTGTTCGTGCCGATGTTCTCATAGTGCTGCGGGAAGAGACAGGGATCTCCAGACTCTCCCGAGTAGACAGAAGCATTACCCTCATGTTCCCATCTTATCTTGTCCAAGGAAAGATTGAAAATCTGCTTCCCTGAAAATCTGAACAATTCCTCTCAAAACTACATGAGAACACAGGGATTATTGAAAGGTGCCCCTCAAGATAATTTGAAAATATGAAGCCATGGCAAATAATAATGAAAATAATAAATCTTCAGGAAGAGCTAATCAAGTGAACTTTGACCCAGATGCAAATAGCATCTTTTCTCCTCTTGCCCCATCCCTCTTCTTATTGTTTTGAAGACTTATTTTTATTTTATGTGTATGAGTGTTTCATCTGCATTGTATGTCTCTACACCACATGCATGCCTGGTGCCTGTGGAGGTCGGAAGAGGGTGTCAGATCCCATGGAACTGGAGTTGCAGAGGGTTGTGAGCCACTGAGTGTAGCTAGAGTTTTCCTGCCTTGCCCATAGTCAGGACAAATCTCTGTCACCCGCCAGTCCCACAGCTGCTCAGACCCAACCAAGTAAACACAGAGACTTATATTGCTTACAAACTGTATGGCCGTGGCAGACTTCTTGCTAACTGTTCT